GCATTTTGGGGTGGAGCGGGGCAGGTCAGGGAGGCAAGGCCTCTTTAAAACTATCGGGGACCATGAAGTGGATGGAGTTGTTAGCGAGTGAGACAGCTGTGCACCTGACTCAGCGAAGATAGAAACCGATCATGATCGTAGTCCTCAAGGAGGCTGGGGAAGAAGTGGCAATCTGTGAAATAAATGAGCAGAATGATTTCAAAACCACACCTGAGCTGCATGAGCCATGGCGGTGGAACCCAAAAGACTGTGGAGGAAAGGAACAAGCAGTGTGGGGTGGGTTTCCCCTGGGAGGTCTTCCTGGAGGTGGTGAGCCTCAAGCTACTTTTCATGTAAGGAGGGATGTGGTTACCGGGAGGAAAAGGGTTGCAGCTGGAGAGAAAACACCTCTGTTCTAGCTCAAGCACAGACGTGAGTTCTGAGAAAAATCAAGAATGCATTTCTCTCTGGGGAATTCACCGGCGGGGGGTGGAGGGGTGGTCAAATGGGTTTGCCCTCTTCACCAGCCATGGAAACAGGAGAGGACGTCCCCATCCCCTGCCTGCTCAGGGAGCAGAAAGGAACCAGTGACCTTGTCGCTTGGAGTACATTGCCCTTTGGCGGCTCCCAGGACCTGTGTGCCCCACTGCTCGGGCCATCTTGAAGCCAACACTTAAGGCATGGATTTCCAGGGCCACCTCCTCCCAACCCTGCTTTATAAGACCCCAGTGACCCTGGCATCTGCAGCCATAGCGCTCCTTGGGGTTCAGGTCCTCTGGGCAGCACAGATTGGGCCTATAAACTGGTGCCTTCCCTGTCAGGTGTCTGTATGCACCATGCAGCTGAGGACCAACTTGAGCTGAGAATCAGGGCCTTCTAGAGGCTTCTGGCCTCTGCACATTGCAGCCCTTTTCTAGCTGTGATCCGGCACCAGGAGGAATTGATTTGGGGGTCTAGAGTTCAAGGCCATGGTCTCTGATAGGCAGCCCCCTCCAAGTCCAGGGCTGGTGGAGCTGGAGAGTCCGGTGTTGGGGAGGCTGGTGGTGAGGGCCTGCCTCGGAGCACCAGGGAGGCAAATCTCAGCTGAATTCCCCAGCCCTTTGCCTCCCCACCCTGCTGACCGACACTGACCACCCTAGACTGCTGCCCTGAGACTTACGAGTCAGGGGACAAGTGGAGGCCTACTTGGGGAGAGGGAGAGTGAGGCACAGTGAACGAGGGACCAAGAGTTGCTGGCCCAGCTTAGGTTACCTCTTCACACCTCCCAAAGATCTCTTTCATCTTTGGATCTTTAGGGAATGAAGACCATGGCTGGGTGTCTCTCTTTGCCCTCGAGTCTGGAACAGTCCGCCAAAGGGATGAGGGCTGGGATCTCGCCTGCCCTGTTGCCTCTCCTGGTGCCTTACAGTGGACACCACAATCCCAGGAAAGACCAGAAGAACAAGAACCGGAACAAGACACCACCAGGGAGAAGCTGTGCTGCTTGGGTTTGTATTTTGGAGGAAAGGAAGGTTGGGGATGTGGGTGGGTGGTAGGCCAGAGAGATCATCCTGGGGACCAGGGAGGGGAGGTGCTCTCAGGGGAGGCTGCTTTAGAGATCACTTTGGCTGGCGACTGAGCCAAGGACAAGGAGTTTCGCTGAGTGTCCTTGTTCCCATGAGGCCAACTCAGGGTGAGTGACCCTGAAGCCACTGACATTTATTAGGACCTCTTTTACCAAGGAAGTCCCTGCATGGTGCAAATGGCTAATGCACTCAGCTGCTAACCAAAAGATTGGAGGTTCAACCTCAGAGGTGCCTTGGAAGAAAGGCCTGGTGGTTTACTTCCAAAAAATCAGTCACTGAAAACTCTATGGAGCACAGTTCTACTCTGACACACATGGGGTCATCATGAGTTGGAATCGACTCATCAGCAACTCGTTCTTTTGCCAAGTGCTTTACCTACAGCATCTCTGTTTCTACAACAACCCTGCAAGGTAGTGGTTAGCCTCTCATTTTACAGATGGGAAAAGGCGTCCCAGAGAGGTTATTTTCCCCAGGCCCACACAGTCCATCTGTGCATCGTCAAAATCCACAGGGACTTTGCCTAGGTGGGTCTTGCCCGCAGAGGCACGTAGGGGGACGGGCGTTCATGGATTCTCTCTGGGAACCTGGACCGGTGTGTTGTAGGGTCAGGGCCTCTCTGGAGGAGAGGTAGGTGTCTCTGAGAGAAGGACTCCTTTTCCTAATGTCGCCCGGGACCTATTACCTTTAGTCAGCCTGGGGAGGACGAGGAAGAGATCTGAGGAAAGACTTGAGTGTGAATGAGGTGAGAGGGGGAGGACCTCCACCCTTAAACGCCTGGGCCTCTCCCGAAAGGGGCAGAGGAACATTTCTCTAGAAACTGCCCCAGGGCTCCGGGAGGACAGAAACCGGGATGAGGGGCAAGAGGAGTGAGGGGAATGCCCAAGAAGGACTCTGGACAAGCTGTTGGCAGGATGTGTGTGTGGTGGGGGTGGGGTACTGATCATCCACTGTCTCTCTGTCGGGGACAAACTCGGTCTTGTTACCTATTGCAGGGTGGGTGATATGGAAAGAGGACTGAATTAGGCAAATCTGGGTCTGCGTGGGCCATTGGTGAAATTATTCTACCTCTCTGGGACTCGTTCATTCATTTAACAAAACTGATGGTCCACTATGTGCCAACCCCTGTTCTAGGCTTTGGGATGTAGGAGTGAACAAAGCAGACAAAATCTTTTCCCTCCTGGAGCTTAAATTCTAGTTGGAAGAGAGACAAGAAATAAGATAAGTAAAATATTATATAACTTATCAGATAATAATAAGAGCTAAGGAGAAAAAATAAAGCCTAAGGTATGAAACGTTGCAGGGGGTGGTATGAAAATTTTAGACACAGAGGTCAAGAAGGATCCTCTGAGTAGGTCTATGAGGAAATACCTGAGGATAGTGCGAGTTTAGCCAGGAAGCTGTCTGGGGAAAGCATATTCAGGAAGAGGGAGCAGCAAGTGCAAAGGTCCTGAGGCAGGAGCATACCTATAAAGTTAGAGGACCAGCAAGGAGATCAGTGTGGCTAGAGCCAGGAGAAGGGGCAGGGAAGCAGGAGATGAGGTCAGCGAGGTCATGGGAGACAGATTAAGAAGGGCCTTAGAGAACACAGAAAGAATTTTGGTTTATGTTCTGAGCCCTCAGAGGGTTTTGAGCAGGGGAGGGAATTGTTTGTAGGGTGAGGGGGTTGGGAGGGATGACCTTGGAGGCCCTTTCTGGTTAGTCAGTCTGGGACTCAGTGTCTGTTTGGGATGGAGCTGCCTTCTTTCAGAGCATTAGGGCCTGGTGTGGGGAGCAGAGTTTGTATATATGTATGTCTATGCAGCAGGGGGGATTTGGGCTGAGATTTCCAGTTTTCTGGACTGTTGAAAACATGTTTGGAGTAGGTAACCTTTAAAGCCCCATCTAGCCCTGAGATTTACGAGCCTCTGGGGGAATTTTCTACTCAGCAGCACTGGGCCGGCCACATGTGCAGGTCTCCCCCCAGGAACACAGTGACAGGCCTGGCCCTGGGCAGGTTGGCCCCTATCTGGCCAGGCGGTGGGCAGAAGCAAGAAGCCTAGAGTCAGGGCTGCCCCAGTCCCCCACCACCGCTGACCTCCCACATTGCAGATAATGCTCCTGGAGGCGGTCTGTCTATTTTCAGAACGTTTTCCAGCCCCCAGGCACCTCCCTGTGGCGTCCTTAGTCCTTCCCTCAGGGCAGGAGGTGTCTCTGAGGAGGGACAGAGAGGTGAGCTGTCAGAGTGGCCTCGAGCGAGGGTCAGAGGCTAGGCCAGAACTAGCCCCTCGTCTTCAGCATCTGTGTTTGCAGTGGCCAGGCCAGGCAGCCCACAATGAACCTGAGGGACACCCTGTGTGACAGTGAACCCCAGAGAAGCTCAATCGCCAGGCCTTGCTCCTGGCCCTGTCAGAGGCCTCAGGGACAGGGACCCTGTTGAGCCAGGGTGGGCAGGGCCAGTGTGGTGGGCTCCCAGCTCCTGCTGGGGACAGGCCCTGGGCCCAGAGCAGTGCTGCCTTCTGGCTATTCCCCTCTGGCACCAGGGAGCAGCCCACTGAATCCTCATTAGGCTGCTGGTGTCTCCGGCTGGGCCGCTGAGGTGTGCCGAGAGGGCGGGTCTGACATCATAGCCTGTGGTAAGTCCCTGGGGGCTGATTGAGGGACTGAGAGGAAAGACAGGCTGTCATCGGAGTGGCCGCCACACCAGATCCCTTTCCCACCCCCTGCCTGCCCCCATTCTCTGCCCAGCTATCTGAATGACCCAGGAGGCTGCGGCTGGCCCCTCAGACCCAGGAGAGTGCCATAGAAAGTGTCACACCCCACCAGGGGCAGCTTCCAAGGACCTGCTGCTCTTCTGTCCAGTCTCGGCGGGTTCCTAGCTACAGAACTGGAGCCCTGGGGCAGGATATCTCAGGACAAAGGCCCAACTAGGATCCGCCAAAAGTCTTCTTGCTCATCAGGGGCTGGAGGATGAAGGTACAGCTAAGTAAAGGCTCAGGCAACCCACCAATGTGCCTGAGTGTCTCCCTCAGCCGCTGCTACCCCAGGGACTGGGTGGACAGTGTGTGCCCTGATCCTGCTGGCTCTGGCACCATCCAGTGCCCTCCTGGCTTCTGGCAACCTTTGCGGGCACCCTGGGCTGCCTGGCTGTGGCAACGAGCTGCTGTTGTGGGGTGGGGTAGGAGGGAGCAGGGTTTGCTCTTCTGTGGCTTACCGCTTCCTTCTTCCTCAGGGGCCAGGTGGAGGTCAGAGAATCTCCCCCAGCTGTCACTCTCACGTGGATCCCTTGCCCCAACCTGCCCCACCGATAGGCAGGAGGTGAGGACGCCCTTGCCAGGCCCTCTTTCCTGCCTTTGTCTCTTCCCGTCTGTGGGCTCAGCTGAGGTGTGGAGAGAGGGAGTGCCACTCTTACCATCCAGGCCCTGGCAATAAGAACTTCACAGCTCTCTTCCACCCACGGACACAGCCAGCAGCTCTACCATGGACAGGTGGTACTCAGGTGAGCCCCCTGGGCCCTGCCCGCCCTCTCAGCCTCTGAGATGGTGTCCACTCCATCACTTTCTAGTGTACCCACCAGGCCCCCAGGAATGGGGGAAGCAGAAATGAGAGAGGCAGGGTTTCCAAACAAGGGTATTACAGAATGGAGTCCTGGGCAGGCTGTGATGTGGGCACAGGGAGTCTCTGAGCCTGAAGAGCTGGAGATGCAACTAGTCCACAGCCTCCTCATCTATCGGTCTGTCCCTCTATCTGTCTGCAAGATCTGTGAAACCAGACTGCTGGGTTCAAGTCTTGGTTCCCCCACTTGCTAGCTGCCTGACCTCAGACAAGTTACTTAAGTTCTCTGTGCCTCAGTTTCTTCATCTATAAAATGGGGCTAATAATAACGCTTTACCTCGTAGAGTTGTTATGAGGTTAAATGAATTAATTTTTATAAAGTACTTAAAGCAGTGCCTTGCACATAGAGTTCAAAAAACGTAGCTGTCAATTTGCGTTTCCTAGTTTTCTTTTTCTCATCTATCAAGTTAGCTAGCTAACTATCACCTAACTTTCCACCTATTTTTATACCCTTCATTATTCCAGAAAGGATCCATAGTCGCCTACAAAGATAGACAATATACGCTAAGATAACAAGATAGTGTAAAATACAAGCAGAGGTGGGGTGGGGAGGCAGTCTCTCTTGGGTGGAGAATGGCAGTAGGTTTAGGAGAAGAGTCTTAAGGACCTGGACATTCTAGTCCTGGCTTTGCCACTAACTGTGTGTTTCAGGCAAGGGCCTTTGCCTCCCTGTGCTAAATTTTTCTGGTCTTCCTAGCAAGGAACATGACAATGTCTGCCTACCTCCAAGAGTTGTTGCAGGAAGCAAATGATCAGCCTCAGTTTCCTTATTTATTTGTAAAATGAAGCTAACTTGGATTGAGTGAAACCACGCATGTAAATGCTCAGCAAAGAGGCTGGCACGTGATAAACCCTTCCTAAGGTTAGCTCCTGTAATATTTTTATAAGCCTACATCACTTGGCTCTGAAAACAGAAGAAGGCTGAACCGCTGTCACGGCTCCTGGTCTGCAGGGTCATGACATTCTCTCTCTCATCTCAACCCCGTGCTGTTGACTTTCCTCACCCCAACAGCTATGTTCAACAAAAGGCTAATGCCTGTTATTTCTCCAATCAACACACATGTAACAATAACAGTAATGACTTCAACTAATATTTCTCCAACGCTTCCTGTGAACCAGGTCCGTGTTACGCTCTTTACATGCGTTATCCTATTTACTCCTCACAACAACCCTTTGAGGTAGGTTCGATCCCCATTTTACAGAAGAGGAAACTGAGGCACAGAGAGGTTAAGTAACTTGACTGAGGCCATATGATTAGCAATTGGAAGAGCCAGCATGTGAATTCAAGTACTGATCCTCTCACTGCTTGAGGAGGACTTCTCTGTGGAAGGACTCTAAACTGCCCTTGGTGGACACTGACCACTGACCTTGGCCCTTTTGGCTAATGTTGGGCATTAGCTTTTTCTGGAGGCGAATTCAATTGATTAGGGCTTATTGAGGGTTATGCAGCACCCACAGAGCACCTGGCACCAGAGTCCCTAGGGTGAAGGAGGCCACAGTGGGGTGGGGAAGCTGCTAAGGAGGCGGGGGAGTCCACCTGACTCTTGAAGCTGGAGGCCTAGGTGTTGGCCTCCACTCGCCCTTCACTGTGTGGCCTCGGGCAAAGCTGTCAACCTTACTATGCCTCAGACGCCTGGTTCGTAAAATGAGGGAATCCTGCAAAGCTCAAGTTAGGAAAGTTATAAAAGTGCTTTGTAAATCGTAAAAGCAAGGTATTCTTCCAATGATATTGGTCCCTTCCTTCAGGAGCTTACAACGGCCAGTGGGGACCTGGCATGGAAACAGCTCGCGAGCCAGGCTGGATGGAGCAAGTGCTCAATGGCTGTAGAAGCAAAGTGCTGGGAGCAGCAGGGAAGGAGTGATTAGTTAGGGATGACTGAAGTCTTTCTGACTGAGGTGTGAGCTGCAAGACCTGGCCTCGATGGGCAAATAAGATAGGAAAGGGTGTTCCACGGTGAGCAAAGGACGGAGGTGTGAACATGTGTGGTGTGCCAGGGTAGTCTATGAGCCATGTCATGGGCGGGGGTGGCAGGGGTGGGGTGGGGGCAAGGCAACTCGGGACCACATCAGCGAGGCCTTGAGTTTTCTCCAGACAAGGAACATCAGTTGCAACGGTCGCATCCGCAGTGCATGGGGAGGTGGGCAGCTTTTGAGGCTGAGGGCCCCAGACTTTGCCCCCAAAAGCTCCCAGGTGGAGTATATGTTGAAAATATTTTGAAACTTCCTCTTCCCTATTCCTATCTCAACGTCGTGGCTTCTCCGGCTGGTGGAAGAACCCCACTGCTGGCCTGTCCCTCACCCGTCTCTGGAAATTTCCTTTGGGAGGGTTTGGAAACTCAGCCAGCTCCTTCCTGTCCCTCCTCACTCCTCACGCCGCAGCGGGAGCCCTCCGTCCACGCCAGGGCTTTTTTTTGGAGACCAGGGTAAATATTACCTGGCGCTGTTAATGTTTAATGCCCCCACCACGTACCCAGCCACCCCCCGCCAGACACTCTCCCCGAAGCAGAGGCGGCAGGAGGAGGTTTGCACAGACAAGTCAGCTGGGGAGATGGCAGGGTTGTCAACGGACGATGGTGAGTGTGTGTGTACGCGCGTGTGTGCTTGAGTGTGCGTGCGTGCGTGTGTTTGTGTGAAGCAGGGGGTTACTTCTGCCGGACGCCACTTTTCCCAGGGCCTCTTCCCTCTCCTGGCACCCCTGCCTTCTAGAAACCCCAGGTCCCCAGTGCCAGCCACTTCTATAGAAAATTTGCATTTTAAAGGAGGACTTTGCCTTAAACCCAGAGAAGTGTTGCTTCAACGGTAGAATGTCAGTCACCAGGGAGAAGTTGGAGGGGGTGAACGTCCATCCTCGACTGTGTGGCAGGCTCCTGCTCCAGCTCCATGGAGTGTGACTCTGCGGACTGTTTGAGCTCAGAGCGGGAGATAGACAGGGCCAGGCAGGGAAGGAGCCAGCCCCTCTGGGCAGCCTTCCTGACTGGCTTTGGGGAAAGAGCCCCTCAGTTCAGGACACACTTCCAGAAGGCATGTGAAGGGCATGACTGAGGCCTGGAGGCCAGCAGAGGCAGCCACTGACTGCAGTGGGTTTTGAGTAGGATCTAGAAAAGGGGAGGGTCCTACGGGAGGGGGAGGCTCATGAAATGACTCGAGATGAGGTGGTCAGGGAGGCAGCAGTTTCCTGGTGTGGTGAGGGGACCCCTAGCTTGGGTCTAGTCATGGCACTGACGTAACTCCCCCTGTGATCTTGAACAAGACCTGAACCAAATCTGGGAAGGCAGCCTTAAAAGGCTCTGCATCAGGGCAGGGTCCCGGGCCTCCCACGGCCTCCCCTTGGCCTCTGGCTTTCCTGAGCAACCAGTGCCTCAGGGCCCCCAAGACCAGGCACTGACCCCTCCTCACCTGTCCTCTCCTGGCCTAGGGATCAGGCTGTAGGGGACAGCCGGGCTCACCAGGCCCTGAGGCCTCCCACTGCCAGAAGGGGGTGGAAGGCAGGGGACACAGTTCAGCCCAGCCTGGGAGGTGCCGACTTGCACATTCCTTGGGCCTCAGGTACTCCTGCCCTGGTGCCAAGAAGGGGCTTGAATAGGGCGGGAAAGAGGAGCAACCCTCAGCCATGGCAGAGAAGCTCTGACCAGGCTGCCCTCCAGCTGCTCAAGGGCAAAGGTACTCAGCTGACAGGGCTGGAGGGCAGAAGTGTGACATTTGCTGGCTGCTGAGCAGCTCCCAGGCAGGATGGGAAAAGCCACAGAAGGTAGGCTCAGGGCCAGATGACTTTAGCTTGAAAGGTCTCCTTCCTTCCTATGATCTGAGAGGCAGCATAGCAAAGGGTGGTAAGCACTTAGATTCTTAGCCACACATTGCCTGGGTTCAAATCCCAGCTTTACCCCTTACTAGCTGTGTAACTGTGGGAGTTATTTAACTTCTCTGTGTTCCTGTTTTCTCATGAGTTATGTTGGAATAATAATAATGCCTCACAGAGTTGTTTTGATGGTTAAATGAGCTACTATTTTGTAAATCCCTTAGCCTGGCACATAGTTAGCATTATGTTAATGCTTGCTAAATAAATTTGCTTCCTCCTGAGGCTGTGTAATGGAGCCCTGGTGGCGCAGTGCTTAAGAGCTGCGGCTGCTAACCAAAAGGTCAGCAGTTTGAATCCACCAGCTGCTCCTTGGAAACCCTATGGGGCAGTTCAACTCTGTCCTGTAGGGTCACTATGAATCGGAATCAACTCAACAGCAATAGGTATGGCTTTTTGTTTGTTTGTTTGTTTTGTTTTGTTTTGAGGATGGCAACAAAGGAGCATGGAAAGAACCTACAGACATGGGTTCAAGACCCAGTTCTGCCTCCAATTTCCTTTGGGAATTTGGACAGGTCTCCAAACTGGGCCTCAGTTTCCTCCTTCTGTTCAATCTGACTTTAAGATTCTATTTTATTCATTCCTTCGTTTCACAATATTTGCTGAGTACCTTCTAGTTGATTACTTTTATGGAGAGGCTGCTAGTGAGTCTAATGGGAGATGCCTATCTTGGTCTTGTCTTACTATTGTATGAAGCAAGGAGCCGGAAAGAAGCCGCCCCCTCTCAGAGTTGCTCGAGGCCCCCGCAGATACCATAGATCTCCTTTTGTAAGAGCTGGCTGTGTCTGAAGCATCCTGGCTCAGTTGCCACCACAGCAGTGGGGTTAGCAGACCCCAAGCCTCCCCTTGCCCACTTGGACCCTCAGGGGCCGCTGGGAATGGAAGCACAGGGAATTCTGGCTGTTCCTTCCCCCTCACCCCTCTCTGGCTCCCTCCTCAGGCGGCAGCTCCAAGGGGGATGTGGACCCATTCTACTACGGTAAGCTTGGGGACCCCCTGTTCCCCACCCTTCCTGAGCCCTGCACACCCCACTCCCATCCTCACCCAGCTCTGGGTCCCTGTTACATCCCCATATGTCCCAGTTACCGGGTGGGCTGCAGGAGGGGGCTGCGGGAGGGGCCCGGGAGAGATGATCCATCCACCTGACTTGCCCTGTCCTTCCTGAGACTATGAGTCTGTCCGCAACGGGGGCCTGATCTTCGCTGCCCTGGCGTTCGTCGTGGGGCTCATCATCATCCTCAGTAAGTGGTGAGGGGAGGGCTGGGTGAGGGGCACATGTCTTCTCAAAGGCACTGAGACACTGGTTTCCCAGATCCCAGGAGGAGGAGTATGCCCCCCCCACCACATACCTCCCTTTGGAATGTGGGAAAGGAGAGGGGCTTCTTGGGACACGCTCACGTGGTTCTTGGACGACACAGTGTGAGGGTCCCTCTTGCTCTAGTGGACTTGAGAGGAGCTGCCAAGATGGGAATCTCCAGTGTAAATGTAGGCTGGGCAAGGGGGAGGATCACCTGATCAAGGGGCTGCCCTAGGCTTTAGCTACATCTTAGCCCATTTAATCCTCTCAGCTACACGGAGGGATGGCCACTCTTTTGACCATTTTGCAGATGCAAGAACTGAGACTCACCCTGAGAGTGCAGCCAAAAAGAAAAACCAAACTGGTTGCTGTCAACTCCGACTCATGACGACCCAAAGTGTCAGAGTAGAACTGCACTCCATAGGGTTTGCAATGGCTGAATTTCAGACGTAGATTGCCAGGCCTTTCTTCCGAGTTGCCTCTGGATGGACTCGAACCTCCAATCTTTCGATTAGCAGCTGAGCGCATTAACTGTTTACACCACCCAGGGGCAAGAGGTGCTGCGACTTGCCAATAGTTGTTCCAGAGCCAGTAAGAAGCAGAGCCGGGTTCACCTGAACCCAAGTCTGTCTGGACCCTGACTGAAGGAAAGCAAGCATGGCTGGAAGTCAGAGGCCTTGGGCCCTGCTGCTAATTTACTGTGGATCCTGAACTCCCTGGGCCTCAGCTTGCACATCTGTTAAATAGGATTAGGACTTGCATCCAAAGATGTGGCAGCCAAGGACGTATTTTAAGAAGGATCAGAGTAGACATGGAGTGGTCTGGAAGAGAGAAGGGTCCTTATATATCCCCCAGCCTCAGCAGATACACAGTAGGCACTTAATAAATGCACGTTGACTTGTTTTGGTGCATCCAGAAAAAAATACACAGAAATACAAACCAGTGAAAAGAAAACAAGTTATGTAGCAAACACGGAGCCCCTGGCTGGTGCAAACGGCTACCATACTCAGCTGCTAACAGAAAGGTTGGAGTTTGGGGTCCACCCAGAGGAACTTCAGAAGAAAGGCCTGGTGAGCTACTTCTGAAAAATCAGTTACTGAAAACCCTGTGAAGCACATTTCTATTCTGACACACATGGGGTAGCCACAAGTGGGAATCGACTCAGTGACAACTGGTTTTGGTTGCAAACACACTGCTTTGTCCTGAAATTCTAACACATCAGTGTCAGTATCTAAATGCTATGGTCTGTGCATCTGGCTGGTCTCCTCCACTGGGTTGTAAGCTCCTTGAGGGCAGTGCTGGGTCATGGCTGTGCACACGTGTGGGAGCAGATGGCCTGAGCCGTCTTGACTCTGTACCTACTGCCACCCTTCCCAGGATCCTCTCCAAGTGCTTATTGAACAGCTGCTATGTGCCAGGCCGTGTGCTGGGGCATCATGGTGGCCCAGGCTCGTCCACAGCTCTCAGTGTGCTCGATGCCCACTTCAGACCCATGAACTAGGAGGAACTCAGCAAATGTTTGTTGACTGACTGACTGACTTAGGCTCTTAACTGCTTATGGTCCTGCCCTATGTGAAGAGAGATACAGCTAATGTGGCCGCCAAGCCAAACACTGTGGTAGTGCCGGCAAGAGGGAGGGCGGCAGGATGAGATGACCTGAGTCCTCCCGGGCAGAGAGGCCTCCTGGGAAGTGAGACTAGATAAAAACTCACTAACCTGCTTTTCTCTCTTCAAGGCAAAAGACTCCGCTGTGGGGGCCAAAAGAAGCATCGGTGAGTGCCTGCCTAGAGAACCTGAGGTGGGCGGGGGCAGGTCCAGGAGTTTCATCTCTGAGGCCTGTGAGGAGGGGTCCCCACCTCAGGGACCCCCTAGACTTACCACCCTCCCACTGACCTCTGACCTGTCTTTTTCCTTCCCCCACTCCCAGGCAAGTCAGTGAAGAGGAGCTGTAACACAGGTAAGTGTGGGAGGGGCGGGGAAGGGGGCTATGGAGGAACAATAAGGGGCCTGAATGAAAGCAGCTTGGTTGGGACGGGCCCTCAAAGGATTTCAGGGTCACCCACCCACCAGCGAGGCCATCTGTCTCCATCATGTGTTTTTAAATGATTGCTGAGTGCCCGGCATGGAGTGTGTATACAGGGGGCTGCAGAGGACCCCTAGAGAGAGGTAAGAGGAACAAGGAATGAAACCGAAGCTCCTACCTCCGCCCCCACTCTCAGCCCAAATCCTATTTGTCTTTTCAGAGTCAGCCTGCCCACCTCTGGCACCAGGGCAGGCTGGGAAGCCAAGGACGTCCCCAGTCTGCAGGAAGTCCTTCTTGACCCCACCAGAGCCAGGCCCTGGGGCTGACGGAGGTACCAGGCTCCATGTGACCTCTGGGTGGGCATCACCTCCTCCTGCCCGGCCACTGTCATGCTAATAATAAAGCAGTCTCAGAGAGGGCGTCTTCTCTTGCTGCCTGCCTCCTCCCTCTCTTCCTCCTAGAACTGCCAGGCCCACTTCTCCAAGTTGGTGTACAAATATAGCCCATCACTTTCGTTTTTCAATTCATTGCTCAGGCACCCATTTGCCTATTAAAACAAGAAGTCCAGTATCGACATCTGTGGGCCTCTCCTCACCCCCTGAATTCACAAGAGCCCTGGAGACAGAGGACTCAGTCTGGCTTCCAAATGATAGGCAGAGAGAAAGCTGGGGAGTCTGAAGTGTCCACAGGTTCCAAGCTGTTGGTGCTGCTGTGGCATGGGGTATGGGGCACTGCTGGTAGAAGTTACCCTGCAAGAGAGTGGCTGCGGAGAGGCCCCAGCTGCAGTCTGAGCTGTTTGTGGCCGCAGACTGAGCTGTTTCTGCCGTGTTCCCCAAGTGCACCACCATCCACAGTGAGCAGGTCAGGGGCCAGTGCCAGGAGCCAGCTCTGCCAGAACCAGCCCTCTCTCTCACACACTCCAGACCCTGGTGCTGGGCCCAAGCACAGTACAGGTCACTGCTTTTCCATTCTTGGGGCCAGGGGACCCCAGCTGGGCCCACTTCCATCACCTATTTGGGAACTGACTTGGCTAGTCCCAGGGCTGGGGTGGCGGAGTGGACCATGAGGAGGAGGCGGTTATTGTGGCTTCCTCCAGGCCCCTGTCCATCCAGGCAAGGACCCGCCCACAGCAACCTCAGACCAAGACGGTGTTAGGCTGCCCCTCCCACTGGCACCCGACTTCCTAATGCTGGTGGCCAGGGCCCTTGCAGCATCCTCCTCCAGGGAGAGTTTCTGCTCTCAGGACAGAGCCCATCTTCCCTTCCCCTCTCTCCCCGCGGAGGCTTCCTGAGAGCCTGGACGAGACGGCGTGATCATGGCGCCACCTAGTGTCTGGTTTTCAAACCTGGGTCTGCAAGCACCTGAAGGAAAGGAGGGGAGAAGTGGCAGAGGAACCAAGGTCTACAGCAAGTGACTGGAGTTTAAAATGAACATAGCATGTGGGGAAACAGTGCAGAGGGTGTGTGAAGGGTTGTGGGGACAGAGGCAGGTGGGCCACCATTCTGCTTGAGAATTTCCTTCTTTGTCTTAATCCACTGTCCCCAGTCCCTGAAAACCACCAACTGCTCACAGAATCACAGAGGGTTGAGCAAGAAAGGTCCTTAGACAGCAAAATATACACTCCTCATTTTACAGAGGTGTCTCTGAGTGATGCAAATGGTAATTGTGCTCGGCTGCTAACTGAAAGGCTGGTGGTTCAAGTCCACCCAGAGGTAGCTTGGAAGGAAGGCCTGATGATCTACTTCCAAATAATCAGCCCTTGAAAACTCTGACACACACGGGGTTGCCACGAATCAGAGTAATCATGATGACAACTGGAATAACATTTTACAGAAGAGAAAACTGAGCACGGAGAGAGAAAATGACTGGTCCAAGGTGACATATCTATCCTGTATCAGAGCCAGAACTAGAATCCATGCCCCCAGCTCCCACACCAGCACTGCTCACCTCTGGTTGTGGCAGCTCACCTCCCAGTGCCCTCCTGGAACCTCCCTCTGAGCCATGTCCTCAAAGCTCATATTGGCATCCAGGGTGGACAGGGGAGGTGTAAACCCCACACACCTGCCTGTGGGAAAGACAGAAGGCCTGGGGTCGGGGGAAGCAGCTTCAGAGGAAATCAGGAGACACGCTGAGGAAAGCCTGGCTCCTTAAAACCCAGCACCCAGGTCTTTGTGACATCCTGTTCTGAATGTGGGCTCATCATGACAAATAAAATGTGGCAGGCCAATCCCCTAAAACAAACTCAATATTTCTGTACAGGAGACAAAGGTACATACTTGAGGCTGTCTGTGAGGGTGGGAGAAATGAAGAAGAATGGGGCAGGGGCAGCCCAACCAGGAGGGGGTCTTGGGAAGAGGGGGGCTCTCAGGAGCTTTTTGGATGTAGCTGCAAGGTAAATGAAAAGAGGGCACTTGGAGAGAAATAAGAGCAGCGGAGAGGAGTCATGCTTCTAGAATGTTCTATTCTTAGAGCCTACTGAGCATGCCACGCTCAGAGGGGAATTTCAGCCGCTCTGGAAGGGAAACGGTCATGGATGAATCACTTCCCCTGTCTGCTCTTCAGTTCCCTCCTCAGTGAAAGGTGAGGCTTTATCACGTCACAGACTCTGGAGAACCTGGGATCCTTTTTAAACAACCAGATACTCAGGATCCCCCTCCAGACCTGTTGAATTGGGGTGGGCTCACACGAGCTGGTGCTTAACAAGCTCCCAGGTGATGCTGAGGAGCAGCCAGGATTGAAAACCAATGATCCAGGTGACATTCTATGACTATGACTGCTCCCTGACCCAGGCCCTTGTGAATGCTTTCCCTTCCCTCAACAGGAAGGCCACATGAACTGGGACTTACTGCACTTTCACTTCAATTTGGAATTTTCCGCATTTCAGGCTTGTATTGAGTGACAAAGAACAACCAAGGTTGGGAAGTGATCAGAAGACCAAAACCCCTTGCTCTTGAGTTGATTCCAACTCATAGTGACCCTATAGGACAGAATAGAACTGCCCCGTAGGGTTTCCAAGGAGCGGCTGATGGATTCAAACTGCCAGCCTTTTGGTTAGTAGCCCAGCTCTTAACCATTGTACCACCAGGGCTCCAGCCACTCTTAATCACCCAACAGCAACAAAAACAGCTCTTGGCTGAGGGGTGGTTGCAATTCCCTTTATTACCACCAGAGAGAGCACGTGGCTTACCCTGAATCCCTTTCAAACAAGCATTATTAACCTAGCCCTTCCCAGGGCCCCAGGCTGTTTGCTGGGAAGGGGGGGGGGGGTCTGCTGAATGGTCTACCCCTGCCCTGGTTTCCTGGGAAATCCTTGAGTTCTTCTCATTCCGCTTTTCATCCTCTTTTTACAGCTCTCCTCACCTGATTATATAAATACAGAGCCTGTAGTATTTCTAGGAGCCCTGGTTGCGCAGTGGTTAAGAGCTCAGCTGCTAACCAAAAGGTCAGCAGTTTGAATCCACCAGTCACTCCCTGGAAACCCTATGGGGCAGTTCTACTCTGTCCTCTAGGGTCGCTATGAGTCAGAATCCACTGGACGGCAACGGGTTTGGTTTGTTTGCTTTTAGTGGCATTTCTATATCCTTCAGTCTTGCATTTACTCTGCAAGCTTTCTGTAAGCCCCTGCAGTCTATCCACTTGCACTCCCCGGACGTGTCAGAAGAAAATTATGACTCTCAGTTTGATCTGATAACAAAGGGCTTCAATGTGTGGCACATCCTGGACAGTAATGACAGCTAACACTGACATGTTGTTGTTATTGTTGGGTGCCGTCGAGTCGGTTCTGACTCATAGCGACCCTACGTACAACAGAACGAAACACTGCCCGGTCCTGCGCCATCCTCACAATCGTTGTTATGCTTAAGTCCATTGTTGCAGCCAATGTGTCAATCCATCTCATTGAGGGTCTTCCTCTTTTTCACTGACCCTTTACTTTGCCGAGCATGATGTCCTTCTCCAGGGACTGATCCCCCCTTATATAGCCTATATACAACACTTATATAGCCCTTACCATAAGCCAGACAGTGTTCTAATTGCTTTTTAATATAGTAATTCATTTAATCTTCACAAAACCCTTTGAAGTTGGTGCTAGTATCGTCTCCGTTTTTCAGGTGAGGATCTGAGAGGCTGAGTAAATTGTACAAACTCACCTAACAAGTAAGTGGCTGAGCAGAATGACCAGGGCTTCCAACCTGGTTCAAACCCCTGCTGAGGATTTGCATTTCTAACAAGTTCCCAGGAAGTTATGCGTAAGAATCACCCGGGAATCTTATTAAAATACAGGTTCTGATTTAGTATATCTGGGGTAGAAATGCAAATTCTCAGCAGGGAACTTGTTAGAAATGCAAATTCTCAGCAGGGGTTTGAACCTGAACAAGCCGGTTCAAAGCTCTGATTCAGACCCAGGCACCTGGCCCTACAGCAGTGGTTTTCACCCTGGAATCACCCAGGAGCTTCAAAAACACACCAATACCTGGTCCCACTCCAAGATTCTGATTTAGTTGGTTTAGGATGTGGCCTGGTCACTGGATGAGAACCACTACACTGGACTACCACCATCCGTCTGTCCGTTTGCATACTGTGGTGGCTCGAGTGTGGCTATGATGCTAGAAGCTACGCCACTGGTATTTCAAATACCAGCGGGGTCACCTATAGTAGACAGGTTTCAGCAGAGCTTCCAGACTAAGACAGACTACGCAGGCCTGGTGGTCTACTTCCAAAAATTAGCCAGTGAAATGAAAACCCTATGGATCACAATAGAATGTTGTCTGATATAGTGCTGGAAAATGAGCCCCCTAGGTTGGTAGGCACCCAAAATACACAGTGGCCACAACAGTGAACTGGAGCATACCTACGACTGTGAAGATGGCACAGGACCAGGTAATGTTTCGTTCTGTTGTACGTGGGATCACCATGAGTCTGAGCCGACTC